ACCTTAGTCTTAGCTAGCAGCTACAATATGAACTGGACTGGCTGTGGCAGGAATAACTATGCTTGTGTCTGGGTAACTTAAATTGAAATTTTAAACAGATTTGGGTTAAAATTCCAATGACAAAACACAGGAGTATCTGTAGCATCTCCTGTCAGGAAATCCAATTGAAAATTACATTGTTTTAGCCTTTTTGTATTTTACCAGACTTGGTTCTTCACTTACTTTACATAGGTGAATGTGGTCAAAACAAGTTAACTCACCTGGTGAAGCTTCTAGTTGTGGTCATTGGCTAAATCAGGGCCGAAATTAATACATTTCACTTCCATATAATCTGGTTAATCAGAAGACAAATGTATGGTTTAATTAGACATTCAAATGGCCGAGCACAGCCTGAACAGGAATTTACTTTGAGGTAGCAAAACTCTGTTCTTGTAGCATTAAGAAGCTGAAGCAAAGTATGGAAAGGTAATTTTCATTCAGCCTTAAGTGGGGTTTTTTCCTGGAACTGGGTATAAAATTGGCTCAAAAAGGTTGTGTAGCTGCTTGAAGCTTCTGAATATAGTCCATGGAACATCTCTGATAGGACACTTCTTCTTAACAGATTTTGGGCAAAAAGATTATTCTTTTGACATCCTGAAAGTTCTAGAAAATACAATGTGACCACAGAGCACCACTTAAAAATTTCTGGCTGAGTTCAGCTTTAGAAAGTAGCTCCTCCAGAGGTTTGATTGTGTGGAATCTGGTATTTGGGATTTTTAAAAAACAAAACCCAGAACAAAACACCCCAAACAAACAAACAAACGAACAAATAAAAAATCCCCGGGCCAAACCCCCATGTCACTTGGTTTTGCTAATTGAACTGACAATAAGATATTCTTGAGAAGAATAAAAGTGTGGATTGAAAGCTTTGTTGCAGGTAAGTGCCTCACAGCCAGGTAAATACAGGGGGTTGGTGCAAATGGTTTTTGCACATCTGTTGACCACATATTGCATATGAGCAACTGTGTATTTCTGCAGTTCTTGTCCAGTGAGCTTTTGTGCTCATGAAAACATTCCCAAGAATTAAATGGAGTGTACTGCAGGATTCCTCGTTTTTAACCGGTTTATTTCACTGTAAGTTTCTTACACAGTGGAGTGCTAAAGAAACTCAGTGTGTTAAATGTTTCTAAAAATGTAACTATGAAGGAAACTCCAGTCATAGGTAGGACAATTAAGATTTAGTCACTGGAATCTAGGGAAAACTAGTTGCCGAAACCAGAAATTGGACAAATAAGTCTTACTTAAAAAATAAACTAAAAATGATAGTTTATCTAAGGGCTCTTATCAGTCCTGTTTGTGTTTCAAAGTCATCAGATGGTGCCTTCTAAAACTGGCACTGTAGCTCAATACAGGAAATAGTGGATGCAATACTACTGTACCTCTTTGAAACAGAATGGGCCATGGGACCCATTCCTTAGAGTTAATTTTATGGGGCTGCTGTGGAGCTGGATCTCAGAGCATCCTCCAGGTTGTGTTACTTAACAAGGATCTGCGTATCTTCAGTTGTTTCTGCAGCTTCTTCTTCAGCAAAACTTGCAATTCCAGCTCCAGTGCTGACAAAGTTACAGCTTTGGAGGAAGACATTTGTTTCTGTAGTGCAGGTGCTTGCTAATTCGTTTATAAAAAGCTTCTGCAAGGTATCCAGTAAAAATAAAGCTTAACCAAGATCTCACTAGAATTTTTTGGTGTTCTACCATGTGACTTCAGTTGGTAGTATTTTTCACTTTTTTTCTTCCATGGAAAGAGGCAAAAAAAAAAAAAATTGGAAAAATCCCTATGTGTATTCTGCACAGACCCTGTGCCCTACTTGTCCGTTCACAGGGTTGTCTTCCTCCTGTCAGCTGTGGATTTTTCCTGAGCTTTTTGCCCAAATCATTACTGCCACTCTTATTTTTTCTGTTTTTAGCACAGTGGGTAGCTGTTTTGGCAGTTGTGAGCCAAGACAGAGACACTTCTTTGTGTTTCTGGTTGCAGGCCCTGTTTTGCCACGCATTTGCTTAAAATAATTTGCAAGCTCTAAACTAGAAACCAGCCCCAGATCAGTGGGGTCCTGCAGTCAAACGATGCATTCCTCTGCTTTCACCCTCTCGTGAAATCAGTTGCATCTGGGTAGCTGCAGCTGTGCAGACCCAGAGAGGAAATTATGTCAGAGACAGTGCAACTTCTGGCAAATACCAACTTACTCTAGAAAACAGATTTTTGAAACTTGACAACAAATGTGACCTTGAGTTCTGGTGGTTGCTTTGGATTTTAGGAGTTTGTGAGATGGATGTGTGTGGATGAGGATTTGTGTATGGAAACTGTATTTACAACCACATATGCATACTGGAAAAGGCAGTAAAGTTTGGAAGAGAGGCAGCATTAATGGCTTTTTTTTTTCCTCCCCTAGTGGAAGTATCATAGGAGACATTTGGAAATGTTGGAATCTTTGTATCTCAGCTGAAGTTGCAACTTGTATAGTTTTACGTTTTGGCTTTTTTTTTTTTTTTTTTTTAAGCATCTTGCATGCTTTTAGTTCCACAGATTTGTCCATTTTGATCAGAACTGCTGGAATAATTTTAGATTTTGAATTTATTTTCTGTGATTATTCGGCAGTAAGCCAAAGGGAAAGCTACATGCATAGGGTTAACTTAGAGTGGCTGATCTTAAAGCCATCGGTCCTGTCAGATTTGAAGACAGCCCTGTAAATTTTAATTACTTGCTCTTTGAACATTTCAATTTCGATGTTGAAAAGTCATTTCAAAGAGCCTGAAACTAAGCTTGCTGTCAGTGTATTTCCCCATCTTTCAGCTTTAAGGATGGCTTCTTGTTGACTAAGTTTCTGGGCTAAGAAAGGATCGCTTTTTCTTTGGCCACGTTTTCTAAAGCTTTCTTGCCATCCTATGTCAAGGATATATTTATTTATAGTGTTAATGAAGGTGTTTTGCAGTCACTGGAGTTCTGCATTAGTCAGGCAAGAATTGCCTCTGCTTCTTACTGTGCATGGTGTGATGTCACAGCATCCTCCACCTCAACTGTCCTTTCTATTCATGTAGCTGTAGCCCAGTGGAAGCCGAAAACTTCCTTTTTGTTCTCGCAGTGATTGTATATAAAATAAGATTCTTTGTGGTTAAATATATGGAATTCTGTATTAACTGTAAAGCGATAGCTAGTGGTTATATCATCTGGTCAGAAACAATAGTGTAATATAGCAAGTGACAATTCAGTAAGTGTTTAATTAAGGTGGATTTTGTTCATTTGTGGGTTTGGTTTTTTTTGACCACTCAAGTAGGTAGGTGAGTGAAGCATGTGTGTTTAATGAAAGAGGAAATACAGGGGGTGCTGCAACTTTAAAAAAAAAAATCAGATTTTGCTGTTTCTTTAATGTTCCGTGTATAGAATAAAATATACTTCATTTTACACTTCCCCTTTTCCCTTCAAATAGTTGTAGTTCAGTGCTTACCTCATCCCTCACTTGAATTAACTTTAGATTTCTTGTTGCTTAGAGTTGGCTTAAAGGACTTTATAATGCAGTACAAAATAATTTTGTCTTAAATTGACATTACAAAGTACTCTTGCACAACTAAATCCAAACATCTGTTTTTGAATCTGACAAAAAAGAAACCTCTTCCAATGCTTGGTTTTCTTTTCCTCCCAGCAGATTGAAAATGTGATAGCGCTAGGATTATTTAGAGTCAGGGAATCAAGTTTCAGGGGATTAGAATACTGAATACATTACTCTTTACACTGTTGTCATTATTTATCAATTCACAAATCTAAACATTGCCAAGGTTTTAAGGGAGTTATTATAATCAAATTTTAAAGGAGTAATTTGCTTTAATGATGTTTGCAAATACTCTGAATGCCTTGATGGCTGTTTTGTTTTTATATGGGAGGTGAGGGCAGGAGCCAAGGCTTACGTTTTGGAGAGAAAAACCACTGTGAAATAGAGCATGACAGGAAGAACAGCAAAAGGGATGTAAGCATACTTGTTTAGGTTTGTTGAATATCTCTGTGTCTAAGCAGTAGATTGAACGTTTGTGAATCAAAGCTGTTTTGTAAGCAGAGCATGTACTGATTCCTGTAAGGATGCAGAGAATTATGCTTGGCTGGCAGACCACAGAGAAGCAAAATGCCTACACTGGTAACAATTGTTTATGATTCCTAGATTGATCAATCAGTCAGGAATGCAAATGAGTTTTTACAAGAAGTTAAGAGTAAATTCTTTTGTGTAAGGTTTACTTCATTAGTATTTTAACCTGAAAGAGGGGAGTGGACAGCTGCAGTTATATCACATCACTGCTAAATATTTTTTCCCTGTCCATTTATTTGTCATTTCTTAGAGATTAAATTGCTACAAATTTGGGGGGGGGGGGGGAAATATGCATCTTTGTATGTTTCTCAGTGTAGCTTTTTTGCTATGCTTACATATACATCACTAATATTGACAGTAAATATTGTATTTTAAAAATTTTATATGCTGTGAAAGCATGAAAACATTAATGGGTCTTATTTATAGATTACTTTGACTTTCTATATCTGTATAAATCACATTAGATCGTGGCCTATTAGATAAGCCTTAGTATTTTTAGATAGTATTCAAAAATCTTTTTGCAAATTCACCATTCAGTAGTGCAGTGTGAAATAACTGCCTTTATCTCAAAAGATGAATGGGAGGTTCAACCAAGTTAGGTGCAGTGTCTCTATTGTCAGTGGGTTAATGTTCATGTGATAGCCTAAGGGCAAGTTCAATTATTTTTTTTTAATACACAATTTAAAAAAACCTATGTAATAAAGAGTCCTTTGAGCGTAACTCTTGACTTCTAGCAGAGTGGAAATTGCATATAAAACGCATGGCCTCTCAATTTTTTGTTTGTTTAAACCTTCCCCTACTTGGAGTTAATTGCTAAAGGCTTCTCAGTGTCTCTCCCCCTAGAACCTGAGCTTAGCGAAGGCCGTTTTTCTCCCCGTTCTTTGTGCAGGTCAGCACACAGAACATGAAGATGGGTGGGCTGCCTCGTACAACACCACCCACCCAGAAGCCACCAAGTCCACCCATGTCAGGAAAAGGAACTATTGGGTAAGTGCAGTTACCGAATGGGTAAATGGCTTTGGTGTACAGAAGGGAAAAGTTGGAAGATTCTTTCTTTTTCTGTAGTGTGAGGGGTGTTTTTGTTTTATTTTAACCATTCATAAAGGTCAAGAGGTGTTATATCTGCATCCTCTTATACTGATCTGGTCATATATATTAGTGTGCTTCTGCCAGAAGACAGTGGGCATCATCAGCCTTTGCCAGCAGGAACCTTGTTCTCATTGCAGAACACTTACAGCTACATGCTTCAGAGTAAAATGTCATTAACTGTGCGGCTTTGACAGGTAGTGCTAAACAGCTGAAAAATTAGTACGTGGCACTGGTCATTAATTATTTGTTGTGTGTGTTATAAAGGAACTTGCCTGTTAAGTCTATGAACTTGACTTTGACCTTAGGAAAATGTGTTGTGTGATGAATGCTGTTTGCTGGTATGTGACTATGTATAGTCATACAGACTCTGGTGCTTTATTTTAATACAAGATAATGGCTTACTTTTAAATCAAGAATGGGCCAGGCAAGACAGTTTATTAATAGGAAGGTTGAAGTACATGAAGAACATCCTTAATTATTTTTTCTCATCCTATCAAGTAGGTACTGCAAACTTGCAGAAAAAAAACCCGCATTTTTTTAGCTTACATTACTGATTAGCATGTAGCTGTCTTTTAAAGAATGAAAAATCTTTGAGTTTGTCTTGCTTCTGAAGTATGCTCATGCTTGTGTAGGCGTCACTCCCCCTATCGTACCCTGGAGCCGGTTCGTCCCCCGGTGGTACCCAACGACTACGTGCCTAGCCCAACGCGCAATATGGCTCCGTCGCAGCAGAGCCCCGTGAGAACAGCTTCTGTCAACCAGAGGAACCGCACATACAGGTACTCAGTCCTGCACACAGTGTTCTTGGCATTGTGTAAACATGTGGCCAAAACATGCTGTGGTAAACGTCAAATCCGTCTGCACCTACCTCTGCAGTGGGGCTTGCCAAGTCATCATACAGACTGTGACTGTCATTGGCCATGATGAGAATGAGCACCAATAAAACCATGATAGTGAATCATGTTGAGATATCATTTTATCCCCTAGTCACCTCAGTTTTAGGGCTGTCAGTTAGTTACATACTTAATAAATTGCTGAGATTGTGATGTCTTTCAAGGAGGTAGATACTATTTTACTAAATGCTTACAGAACTGGGGAAAGGCACTGTACACAACTTGCCTTCTACATGTTGAAGGGCTGCATAGTATGCTTATAGTTGACATTTTTGAACAGTCTTTGGTGTTGATAGATTGAGTAGCTGAAAAAAGAGCATTGTATTTTGAGGATTTCAAACAACATAAAGCTTAACTGAATTAGCAAAGGTTCTGCAGAAGACTAGCTTTTTCTCTAGGATAATAAAAGTTTCATGATATGATGGGTCTAAAAACTTCCCTTGAAATCCTTACTTGTTAAACATGGTAAGCAGTTGAGGGTGGCTAAACAGATGGACTTAAAATATAAGAAATCTGACTTCTACTTTGCTATCGTACAATTTCTAGGTTGTAGTAGTCTCATATGAAAGCGTATGAATCACAGCCTAAGCTGTCTACATGTTTTAAAGTTACAGGAAAAAGATCTGTATTGGCTCTGTAGGGGTTTAGCAATCCTGGAATGATGTGCTTTGATTGAGGTTCCATTTTGGGGCAAGTTCACTAAGACTAACTGAAGAACCTGTTGTGTTGTAGTCAAAGTGAAGAGTTTTAGGAAACCCCAGCTTTATATGGTTTTATATCATCCTTGTTTCCTTTCTCTTCTTCCCTGGTGCTTCTCTGGTTTAGTAAGATGCTGTATGAGGGATCTTGTGTTTCAGCATGCACAGCAGTATATTCACACCCTGGTTATTTTGGTTTCTTGCAGCAGCAGTGGGAGTAGTGGAGGAAGCCACCCAAGTAGTCGGAGCAGCAGTCGAGAGAACAGTGGAAGTGGAAGTGTAGGTGTTCCCATTGCTGTTCCCACACCATCTCCTCCTAGTGTCTATCCAGGTAAATGAAAACTTGCTGTTCCTTTTTCTGACTCAGCATTAACCTTTAGCATTTGCAGTCTCCTAAACTCCAAGGGAAGGCTCTGAGTTTGTTGCTATTGATAGTATGAGTTTGAGTGAAGTACTGTCTTTTCTGAGAGTGTCTGATGTGCTGTAATGCTGCTTTTAGGTATTAATTTGTTTATCAGAATTTTTGGCCTGGCTGCCTGCATGTGACAAGGTAGGACACAGTACCTTTTCAGTGGACTGAGGGAAACTTCTCTCTTGTCCTTTAAAGCAAATAAATGTTTTTTTCATTGGCTGTTTATACATATACAAAGGAGCGTGTTGTTAGAAAATTAGATTAAATGAGAAGCAGGCACAGAATGAATCTCTACTACATTAATGCAAGCCTGATTTGCCCCAGTCTTTCCAGAAATAGAAGTGTTACTAGTACTTCTTTTTCCTTCGCTCAACCTTTTCAAGGAAGAAGAGTGTACAGTTAGCTTGCATGTGATCTGAAATACATGATGCTTATGAGACAAAGAGCTGGAAATTTTTTGCTTTCTTCTGTATTTTCTACTTCATACAAAAGATAAAGGTAGATGTGCTACAGATCAAAGAATAAATAACAAAATGTAAAGATGTATTTCAAAAGTAATGGATTTCAGTGAAAAATTCTGGATTGTTCCCTTCAGACCTGGAAAGACATGGATTTGCTTGACCCTCATTTACCATCTACACAGGAATGAGTCTTTCTTTAACAGCTCCATTGTTCTCTCATCTCGTGCATTCTAAAATACGATGCAGCTAATAAATAGCTAACGCTGAAGAGTCAAAGGCTTTCTCTAATCCTTGCTAACATATCTCCTTATTAACTCCACCTCTTCCTCCTCTCTTCACTTAGCCCCTGCTGGCTCAGCTGGCACTTCTCCCCTTCCTGCTACCTCTACTCCTGCCCCTACTCTTCCTGCTCCTGCCCCTTCCTCTGCTGCCCCAGATGCTGCTGCTGCTGCTGCAGGAGCTCAGCCCCTTGCTGATGGCTTCACCTCTCCAACTCCCCCCGCTGTTTCTTCCACACCCTCTGCAGGTGAGTGTCTGCTCCAGCTGCTGGGCAGATGAACCCAGATGTGTCATGGTCCAAGGCATTACAAAGTTACTTCAGAAGCAGTGGTTCATAATTCGAAAAAAAATTTAATTACAACTAGAAAATATCTGCTAATACCCAACTCTAAGGTCATAGTTACAGTAGACAAGTCAAGGTGTGCTAGCTGTATAAGCAGCAATCATTTAATTTTATAATTTTACTATTTAAAAATTTATATCATTATTTATTAAATTGTAATTTTATTTCTGTTTGGATACTGAGAACCTCATAAGGTAATTATGTTTTGAGGGAACCAGCACTGATATTCTGATTTTTTTTTCATTAATTGAATAAAAAAAAAGCACATCTAGCAAAGTATAATTTATATGGCTGGTTTTTTTCAAAGTGACAAGTCTCCCTTCAATGACCTGATGAAAAGGGCAGGGTTTTTATGTTCAGTATTAGGTGAAATACAAGTTTTTATTATGCAGAATAGTGTTAGAGCATTTTGTTTTAATAGGTGGTACTTAGGGTGTATATTTCCATTTGCCTTTTTTTTAAGTGCTTATGAAATCACCCTACAGTTCTCATTTTTTCATGTGCTGAAGTTGCAGCGTGTAGTACTTACCAACCATGACACTGTCCTGCATCACCTTTTGATGAGGAGGTGCAACTGCATTGTAAAGATCTCCTTTAGGCAGCAAATTCATGTGTAGCTACCTACATACTGTAGTTTTTGTTATAGTGGAGGCTGCTTGTAAGGATGTGAATTGGTTTGTGTGTTTATTAGTGTGCATCTCTTCTAGTAAGAATTGCACCAGGTGCCAGAAGCATACTTGAAATTGTATTTACTTTAAGCTGCTGTGGCTCATATACAATAAGAAAATACTTACACTAGAATCCATACCTGTGACTAGAAGGTTCTAAATTGTGATGAATTTTTGTATCGGAAGATGATCCTGTTCTCTAAACTACTTTCATGTTCAGAAGATGAGCTGTGGCATATGGGCCCTCAATTGGTTTTCCAGTTTTGGTGCAGTCAGTATCCCAGTTCTTAAGCCATGTTGTTTCTGTATTTTTAACAAGTCACAATCAAGCAGAGATTAGTATTTTAATGGCTATAAATTCTCATTCACAATTCAGTGAGACAAGTTTCAGGTTACTTACTATTTTTAAGATCTTTGGTTTACTGAAGTTTCTTGCATGACTTCTCTGAAATAAAGTATTTGAAGAGACTGGGTAGTTTACCCTTCATGACGTTGTAGTTTTTGGTCCTTAAAAACGTCTTAGATCTGTTTCTTCTCCCTCCCCCAATCACCACCAGTGATTAAGTAACAGAGAGACAGACACATTGGAAGACACATCAGGAAAAATGTGGAAAAGCCTATATTCTAGGTGGATTCTTTCTTATCTGTTCCTCATCTCTAAAAAGGGCATTTTTTGAGATGTATGTATTGGTAAAAAGGGGAGGAATCTGAATCTCTGGTTCATGCATTTGCTCTTAGAAGCAAGTAACAGACCGAGCAACTTGCATTTCATTTACTGACCTAGTGTGAAGTTTTGCAAAGCATTCAAAACATAGTGAAGGACAAGGTAATTTTTACAAAATTGCACATTCCTTTGTTCTGTTTCCCTGTTTGCTTCTTTCCCCAACCACAGTGACCATCCTTTCTTCCCTTGTTTTATTGCAAACTCTGAAACATACTTCTAGGACAAATGGTGGAGGCACAATAGTTTGTGGAGGGTAATAACCCATATGGGTATAATAAATCCAATTTACTGTTCTATGCAGTATATACGCCAGAGTACTTTATGTGAGCACAGAAGATAGCTTGCTTTATTTATTGCTTGCTTAGATTCAGGATCAGTGACTTGGATACAGGAAGTGATGAAAATGGAGAGCAAGTTTTTAAGGAGTTGTTTTAATTGACAGCTCCCTGACACAGGATCTTTGAGGATGACTTCATTTATTCCATCCTTCATGCAGTTTCTAACATTCTCCCCAAATGACTCTCTAAGTATCTTCTAAACAGCACTAAGATAGGTAGTATTGTGTTTTTTCAGTTGTAGAAGGTAACAGCTTTGAATCTTGGAAATGGCATACAGTTAGTTTTGGCATATATGTTCCTTAATTGCAGGACTGTGGGGTGTATTTTTTTTTCAGGTTTCTAAATAAATTTGCAAGAAGTTATTATAATCCATTATTTAAAATAGATAACTGGGAATTATCTTCTTTCATTTTGAAGCTTTATAGCTTAGACACCTTTGTATTTTCCTCCTGGTTTTTGTAAGCAGTGCTGAGTACAGGCAGTTGGGAGAGTTGTTTTTTTGTGTTGCTATTTAGAGATCCAGCGTCCTGCAGCTGAACTGGCTCTCTCCTCCTAGGATGCAGACTGTCTTAAAAAGAAACAGAAACCTTTCCTAGCCTTTGAAACTTGAATGCAGGTACAAAAAAGGCAGGCATCATTCTTGTCTTTGCTAATACATTTCTCTTTCTAACCTAGGTCACTCAGTGCAGTTCTACAGCATGAACAGGCCTGCAGCTCGGCACACCCCCCCGACAATAGGGGGATCTTTGCCATATCGGCGTCCTCCTTCCATCACATCACAGACAAGCCTTCAGAACCAGATGAATGGAGGACCATTTTATAACCAGAACCCAGGTAAGAAGCTTTGTCTCGTCCACTGAATTCAACAGTGGTGACTGGAGTGACCTTCAGACCTCTGAAATTTTATGTTCTGTCTCTATTGCAGTTCTCACACTTCCAGTATGTTGCTGGTAGCCATGCCAAAGCTGCAGTGCAAGTGCGGTGTTCAGGTTCCTTTACAGCAAGCAGCTTAAAACAATACTGGCTTTGTTGCCAAATAAGTTTACTTTTGATGTCATAGTCCCTCTTAGATAAGTTTTAGTCCTCTACTCGACACCATGTGTCATGGATTTGCTTTGGTGTGAGATGAGTATTTGGTTTTGCATCAGAATGCTGATTCTTCATCAATCAGCCTTTGTCTTGTATGCTTTTTCCTGCTGGTTAATGGACAGTTCAGGAAACTGCACTTGTTTTACAAGGGTAAGCAGTAGACACCTAAGAGACATCAGTAGTGGTTGGCATGGGCTGCAGGGGAGCTGTGTCATCAGCTGAGTCCACAAATGATGTTACTTTGTGGCTGATCTGCCTTACAAAGCAAGATGAGATATAAACAGAGGGTGCTGTGTCCTGTGTGTCAGCATAATGCTGTAGCCTTTTAAGGGGTAAGCCTAAGGAGTCCTTTTCCCTGTGCTTGTGATGAGACCTGAAGGTTTTAATACCAGAGTAAGGAAGAGTTTCTCTTTTGACAAAGCTACAGAAAGGTGCAGGGGACATACTGAAGGTTTCTTGTCAGGAGCTGCTCTATTACCAGCAAGATGAATGTCAGCTTGCAAGCACTTCAGTGCACTGGTGTTTTCTGGTTGTTGTGGTAGTGGGTTTTGGAGGGGGTACATGTGTGTGTGTGTTGGGTTTTTTGAGTTGAGCACTGAACTTGGAATTAGGTCAAATGCTGCAATCTGCATTTAAGGGATTTGATCAGGTTCAAATATTACTGTTTGTGAGCTACCCTGAAGAGACATGTGTGTGCTGAGCTTGAGAAGGAAATTTATGGTCCTGCTGGGGACAAGGGAGTGGAGGGGGTTATATGACTAAATTATAGCCCAGTTGCCTAAAATATGTGGTATTTTTAAGCACATTATATGCATATTGAAGGCTGAAGTGGGGAATAGGCAAGAAGGAAAGGGTAATAGCAATCAAACAAATCCTTTGCAATAAAAAGGATTTTGAGTATATCTAGAGTTTTTGACAACTGCTGTGCATTTCTGTTTTAGCAAAGGGATAGTTCTCTGCAAGCTGCCAGTGCTTGGTTAATAGGTAATCACAGAAGATGCCAAATAGACTTTAACTAACTTACATAACCACAATTCAGTCTGTGTACCAGAAAGGAAGATAATTATTACCGTGATTAGTCACTTGAACTGCAAATCACAAAGACTTCAATGATACTGACATATTTGATACAATATAAAGAAGCAGTTGTAGTAAGAGTCTTTTTTTTTATAGATACCTAGCAGAGTACAGAATTTTTAGCTTTGCAGTTATACTAAACCAAGTTTTTTTCGGAGTGTACCTCGAAAGGAGAGTATGCTCAAGCATGCATAATTGATGAAGACCCTAAGAACAGATGGGCTGCTGTGTCTGTAAAGAGGAGGGTTAGTAGTGATAGGACAGAGGCCACAATTACTTCTCAGCATTCCTGAAGAGAGGGAGAAAACACAAACATGAGAGGTGAAAAAGAGACCTTACAATAGGCAAAGAGGAGTGGTTCTTGTTCTTTGTAGGGTGTTTGGCAATGACACAGTACTGTTATTTCCACTGCCATTTTTAGTATGTTGGCATAGTCAATTTTGTTTATTCACTTCGCAGGAGGATGAAAGATAAATGCATTGTCCTCTTCTGTTGAATGCCACTTCTAATGTAATAGAATTTATCTACTTCAGGGTGAGATCTTTTTAACAACTGCAAAGAAAATAGTAAGAAATGCAGACCCTAAATGATGTCAGCATACATCTGTTCCAAAGCCACTCTTGCCAGCCATGCCACCTAAGAAGTGTTTTGATTTTGCAACCTTAGATACCAGTGTCTCAACAGTATAGAGCTTAGCACAGGCTAAAAACCCTATGAGAGAAACTGGGCAAGTATTGAGATGGTGGTTGACACTACACCCTGATTGTACAGCTGAATTCTTACCAGGCTGAAGCAACCTAGTGGGAGGTGCTCTTGAGCATTTCTGAATTTATTTACAGCAACTGTGTGGTGAATCCATCAGTTGCCTGTATGGAAGGAAGCTGGAAGGGAATGTTTAAGCTGGTGTTTAGCTCACCTTTTGAGATAGCAGAGGTACAGTAAAGTTCTTCCGATGCACTTTCTATAAAAAAATCATTATTAATAAAATATTTCTTTTATTGGCTCCTAAAGGTGAAAACTAGATGAGAATGATTATATAGCATACAAAGACTAATATGATAGTCCCTGTGCAATGCATAGACTGAAGCACAAACCAAATGGTTAAGATAAACAAGGAGTGATGTCAGCTAGTATTAGTGTCACCATTTTGACTAAACTACACAAACTGAACTAAGGGATTTCTTGTATTGGCTTGGTGTGCTTGTCTAGACTGATTTATTTTCCTCCATGGAAAGCCTCGTTATTGCTTTCAAAGAAATATATATAGCACATGAACAAAGTACATTGAAGGGACCAAGGAAACTGGAGCTAGTCTCATATGATAGATGGGAATCATATGAATCCATATGATGTTGAATAGAGGAACCATTTTGAAATGGAACATTTTGGTAGCACATATAATTAAAAAAGCAGGGACTTCAGAGTTGTGCAAGAATACAGAATTCATGAATTCAAGTTCCTTTTTTCTGCTTTGAAAAAATGCAAGAGATGTTTTCCTGGCTACTGTGGTTACACTTGAAGGAATAAATACTCTGAGGTCACATCATTCAAGTCAGATGAACTGCAATCAGAAATGTGTTTCAGTTTTTCTGGAGAGGTATCAATTAAATGGTGAAATAGTGGAACTTGCTTTATAGGAAGGTACAGGGATATTTTTGTGACAAAAAGGATGGTGGCTTTTGAGGTTTTTTTGTTTGGTGTGTGTGGTTGTGACAGGAATGTGAATGTGAGTGGCAGAAGAAATGCAAAGCACCTCAGATAATGGTTGCTGGAATAAGCAAGCAGAAGAAATTTTGAGACATGAATTGTAAATGCCATGGACTTGTTTTCACTTGCTATGGTGATGTGAATTAATTTTAAAAGTACTACATCATACCTGGCAGTTTTCTTACTAGCTCTGGAATTAGTCTGAAATGTATTTAGTTCTGTCTGCAAGCTAAATAAATGTATATGAAGTGTAGATCTTTTTCTCCTCATCCTTTTGGATGTGATTAAATGTTTTCGTATGCCACTACTAACAAGAAAATCATTTATTTGTGCTTTTCCTGGGGTGTGCTTTCTGAAAAATAATCTTGCAACTTACTTAAAGAATATTGCTGCATTACTCAAAAGTGATACTGAACCCAGATAAAACTAGTTAGCTGATTTTTAAACTTAAATATGGAACTGAACCTTGCATTCCAGTTTTAAACCACAATTCAGTGTTACAACATTTGGAATTGGCTGAGAGTATCTTCTCTAAACGTGAATTCACATGTATTGTACAAAGCTCTTCTGGTACCAGTAAAAGGGCTGTTCAGAGTTCAGTGCAGTGGTCTGTGAAATCAGGTGGGAAGGTAAAGAGGCAGCACATCTGGAACAGCCCC